TTTTTGGCAGAACCTTTGTCGAGGGATTCACTTCACTTGTCTATTTGACGAGTTGGTAGCTTGGTGTGGAGAATGGCAGAACTCACTGATGATGCCGACTATGATGCTGATGAAATGTTTGAGAATGTACCAAGTCCACTGTTTGATGCTGGGAATCATGACAGATACTATGGCAAACGACTTCGGACTAGGTGTGTTCTACTAAGTCGCCCTGACAACCATACCAAGTCGCGACAATGAGGTCAACCCACTCCTTAGTTAATCAGTTTGGAGTGCTTCCAACTCTACTAAAACACATGAATACTTGAAAATGCTCTTATTAAATTTGCTACCATCCAAGCTCAACTTCATCGTTTCAATATACTTTATGTTTAAGCAAGAGAAGGATACAAGACTGCTGCTGAGTCAAACTCTAAATTTGGGGCGTAAAACTTTTGGTCTATCAATAAATTTCCCCCTGGTTTACATTCGTTCTTTGCAGGAGGTCCTTATCCTTCTCATATACACTCTCATGCATCTTTGAATGTACCTTTTGTGCTCACCTTCAAAAAGCCCTTAGGGCAACTTGTTGACACGATAAATATTTAAAGTCAAGCTTGCTTAAGCAAAAGCTATTTTTAAGTCTCAGCAATTTGAGTTTTCAGCTTTGTTTGCACAAGGTAGTTGTTACTTTCATTTTATGAAAATACCTACTTAAAGCTGACCTGCGAAATTTTGAAGTCTACTTGACAGACTGAAATATGTTTTAAAGTAAGCCATTTCTTGACAGTTTACTAAAGAAACATACATTTAGACTATTTTTTTCACAATAAAGCCTCGAAGAATCTACATGAAGGTGTATTTAACAGCAAATAAGTATGCAAAAGGCGATTATCATTCGATCAAGGCAGACAGACCCACTATTATCCTGCCATCTAGCGCTCTATGTAGGGAAATACACATCGATCAGATTACTCCCCCCATTATGCATGGAAAGTCGATGCCACTAAAAATCTCAGTATCTATTACCAATCCGAATTCAACAGTGGCGATAGAGCTCAGAGCCGAAGTAAAATACCAGCAACTATTTTTCCTTATTCATAATGAAAACTGATTTTGGTCAAGTAAAGCTGCTTTTAGTTGTGAAGCAATTCTTAGTAGTATTATTTGTGATCACACTTTCGCTTTTCCGTCTATTGCTCGATGCAAACTTCTATAACTGCGAATATATACAATTATTTTCGGCTTTGAGTGTCATAAATACAGAGGTCATCGAGTCTGCCATGGATAAGCCATTTTGTTGTTGCCTATAAAGCTTCGAGTTTAGCTGTATAGGATAAAAACCTTTGATTGAATATATATGA